CAGTGAGCAATCTACCAATGTGAGCACACCCCCTCCCCACCCCTCCACCTCCCAGAGGATAGGAAGTGGGGTTTGTCTGTTCTGTGTCTTTGACATTTTATCCCATACAGCCTTGTGGAACTGAGTGTTTATTTTTTTTCTTTTTTTTTAAGATTTATTTATCTGTTTGAAAGACAGAAGCAGAGAATGAGAGTGAGAGAGAGAGAGAGAGAGAGAGAGAATCTTCCATCCTCCAGTTCCCTCCCTAGATGGCCGCTGTAGCTGTAGCTGGGCTGATCTGATCTGAGGCCGGGAGCTTCTTCCGGATTTCCCAATGTGAGTGCAGGGGTCCAAAGACTTGAGCCATCTTCCATTGCTTTCCCAGGCGGATTAGCAGGGAGCTTGATTGGAAGTGAAGGACACGAACTAGTGCCTTATAGGATGCTGGCACTGCAGGTAGCAGCTTTACCCTCTACGCCACAGCGCTGGCCCCCTGTGTTGATTTGACTTAGATCTGATGTAGGGGAAGACAGCAAGTTAGGATCTGAGATCAGTTATTGGGCATGGGAAAAACATTTGAGACAGTAGATGTTTTTCTGGAGACACGGAAACCTGGAAAGGAAATATCTGTTTCTAGGAGGAAAACTCAGTGTACGTCTGACAGGTAAGGGTGGAGGAGGTATTTTTGGTTTTGGTTACTTTCTTACAACTCAGTATTTAGTTTAGTATCTTCATTTTGCTTAGTAAGATTGTGAAAATCATTTATAAATTCTCTATAAATACATTTGCTCTATGAGAAAAATAGGTTATTATTTGAAAAGCAGAATGACAGAGTGAGAGAAGAGACAAAAAGAGAGAAGGAGATCATTCCTCTGCTGGTTTACTCCTCAGGTGGCTGCAACAGCTGGGTCCAGTCCAGGCCAATGCTAGAAGGCTGGAAGTCCATCCAAGTCTCCCATGTGGGTGGCAGGAGCCCACTGCTTCCAGGCACTGTAGCAGGGAGCAGATCAGAAGTGGATCAGCTGGGATCTGAATCAGCACTCCAGTCTGGGATGCTGGTGTTTCAAGAGCAGCTTAACCTTAACCCAGCTGTGCTGTAACACCCACCTGTAAACAGATTGTTTGTTTTGTTTTGTTTGTTTTTTTAAGATTTTATTTATTTATTTGAGAGATAAAGTTGCAGAGAGAAGGAGAGACACAGAAAGAGGTCTCCCATCCACTGGTTCACACCCAAAATGGCCACAATGGCTGGAGCTGTGCTGATCTGAAGCCAAGAGCCAGGAGCTTCTTCTTGGTCTCCCATGTAGGTGTAGGGGCCGAAACACTTGTACCATCTTCTACTGCTTTTGCAGGCCATAGCAGAGAGCTGGATTGGAAAAGGAGCAGGTTGTTTTTAAAGGGCTAAGAATTGATAACTTTCATTTATCATTAAAGAAAAACTCAGTAGTGTGAAGAATGTAGTATTAGGGCTGGTGTTGTAATAAAATTGCTGCCTGTGATGTCAGTATCTCATATGGGATGATTCGTGTCCTGGCTGCTCCACTTCCGATCCAGCTCCCTGCTGATGGCCTGGGAGGGCAGTGGAAGATTGCCCAAGTGCTTGGGCTCCTGCCACCCATGTGGGAGTCCTGGTCCAGTTCCGGACGTTGTGGTCATATGGGGAGTGAACCAGCAGGTGGAAGATCTCTCTCTCTATAACCTCTTTAACTCTTTCAAATAAATAAATAAATAGATTTTTTTTTTTAAAGAATGTAGTATTAAGTTTATAAAAGGAAACTCCTGTATTCAGATGCTGAGCCTCTTGGTGTGTAGGTAATATATGAAGGAAGGGATGTGGGGAGAAATAAGGACTCCATTATATGATTAAACATTGATAAGTCAGTGTTTATTTGTTTTCTGCTAAGTAATTTTAGACCTGTAAGAGAAATGATGATACCTGGGCTTTTAGACTTCACTGGTCAAAGTTTAACAAAGGGGGAGGATGATGGACTGTCAGCAAAGAGCTCCTGCAGAGAGCTGGAAACAGGCGAGCCAGCGAGCGGGGCCTTCTTGTGTCCATTTCGTCTGCCAGTAAACATGCTCAGTGAAGTGAGGATGCGATCAGTACAGGGTGCGGCGCTGTAACTGAATTCCCCAGCGAAATTGCAACATGTGTGGTTATGCTTAGTTGTTTGGAAATGATCTTAATTATAGGTACCACTCAGAAAACTACTTTGTTAGGAAGACATTTTTTATAAATAAAAAGAGACATTAGAGAAATTTTGGCAACAAAGACATGCCATTAGCTGTTGGGGATTGTTTTTCATTTAGCTGAAAATTAGCACTTTGGGTGGGCATTTGGGTAGTGGTTAGGTTGCCTCTTTCTTGGGACACCTGCATCCCACATTACAGTGCCTGGTTCGAGTTCTGGCTGCTTTGTTTCCTGTCCAGTTACCTGCTAACGTGCACCCTGGGAGGCAGCAGATGGTGACCCAAGGACTTGGGTCCCTACCATCCGTCTCCATCTATGGGAGACCCAGACTAGTTGTAGGCTTCTGGATTCAGTTTGCCCAACTGTAACTTGTTGGAGACATTTTGGGAATGATCCAACAAATGGAAGATATCTCTGTCTCTCTCTCTACCTGCCTCCCTCCCTCCCTCCCTCTCTATTTCCAGTAAAAAGGAAAAAAAATAAAAACTAAGTAGCAGAAAATATTTTGGTTGAAAATTTGAAGTTTTGTATGTGACTTCCTGGTTCATTTCACAGTGCCCTGAGCACAGCTTTCCCTGATAGATGGATGACCTTTATTGGTTCAATATTTTGCCTATTATTTATTTGGAAGTACTAAAAATGTGCATATGAATGCAGGAGTGATAGAGCAGAGTCCAGTGGTTTCTGCCCCCTTATGCTATGAATTGGCTCTTAGGAAAGATGCCATCATACCAGCCAGCTTCATCATATAGAAAGATCTTTCATTCACTGATTTATCCCCAAATGCCTGCAACAGCTTGGGCTGTGTCAGGCTAGATGCAGGAGCTAGGAATTCCATGCAGTTCTCCTACATGGGTGGCAGGGACTCGGGTACTTGAGCCGTCAGCTGTTGCTTCCCAGCGTTTCCATTAGCAGGAAACTGGAAAGAAAGCCCAGGTCCTCCAGTGTGAGATGAGGGCATCGCAAACAGCAGCTCTTTCCACTGTGCCACAACAGCTGCCCCCTGTTTTATAGTGTAATGTTAGGATAGCTTTTTTTTTGTTTGACACTTATGCTCTTTCTAGATCCTAGCCTGTTTGCTTTGCCTTGTCCAGTTAAGCATAAGTAAATGTCCAGTAGAGTATCTGTTGGCTTAGCTCTCCCTGTAACCGGCAAATGGGCTTCCCATAGTGAACCATCTTGGTTGCATGTCAGCATGTGAGACGTGTGGGGCCCAGAGAGCTATTACTAAGCGTTTGTGTACTCAGTTTTGCTTCCTGGTGCTTGCTGCTCACTCTCTCTTTTCCTGCATTTGCTTCCCTCTTCTGTTTGTCTTTTCTCGTATTACCTGTTGCTTCTCACTCTGCAGCGTTTGTGTGAAATGGCTAATCTATAAACATTGTCATTGAGTCAGCCCTTTTTCTCCCTGTGGAAACCTGGCTGCTAAAACAGTGTCATCTTCAGTTCTTTGACATGTTCTCATGACATCCTTCACAAAAGAAAGTGCATGTCTTTCCATCTGCACACTCCACATACTGGAAGGTTGTAGTTTGGTTAGGAGTTTTAGATTCACTTCAGGAACCGGTGCTGAAGTACAGCAGGTTAAAGCCCTGGCCTGCAGCCCCATTTGGGCACCAGTTTGAGTCCTGGCTGCTCTGCTTCCAATTCAGCTCCCTGCTAATGCGCCTGGGAAAGCAGTGGAAGATGGCCCCCCAAGTCATTGGGCCCCTGCACCCATGTGAGAGACCTGGAAAAAGCCTCTGGCTCCTGGCTTCAGATCTGCTCAGTTCTGGCCGTTAGTCCATTTGAGGAGTAAACCAGTGGGTGGAAGATTTTTCTCTCTCTATCTCTACCTCTCTGTGTAACTCTGTTTCAAATAAATAAATAAAAATAAATCTTTAAAAAATTCACTTCAGTTTTCAGGGAATCAGGAAATTATCTGTGCTGTAGGGAAAGGTTCTTTCTGAATGAACTTGTTTAATGGATTCTGTAGGTTCATTCTGAAAGGATTCAGTAGTCTAAGGTCATTGTTCATCATGGAAGCATACTGTTTCAAGGACCAGGTTTCTTCATTCATTTGGTGACAGATGATAGATATCATTTGTCTTCTAGTTCACTTGCCAAATGGCCATAATAACTTAGGCTAGGACAGGCTGAAGCCAGGTGCCAGGAATTCTACCCAGGTCTCTCACATGGGTGGCAGGGGACCACACACTTGAGCCATCTTCTGCTGCCTTTCCAGGTGCGTCAGCAGGAAGTTGGATCAGAAGCAGACATGAACCAGTGCTCCAGTATGGGATGTGGGTGTTGCAGGCAGCAGCTTATCTTGCTGCGCCACACACTCATCCATTAAATTATTTTTATGTATATGCAAATTTTATAAGTGAAGTGACAAAATCACATCAAAAGATCCTATTTCTTAAACGAATTTTCTCTTTCACTTGAAGCTTCTCAACAATATTTTATAATTTTATTTCTGGTTTTTTTTTTTAAAAATTATTTATTTAATTAGGAGAGTTAGAGAGGGAGAGACAGAGAGAGGTCTCCCATCTGATTCACTCCCCAGATGGTCACAATGGCCAGGACTGGGCCAGGCCAAAGCCAGGAGCTTCCTCTGGGTTTCCCTTGTGGGTACAGGGTCCCAAGCACTTGGGCCATCCTCTGCTGCTTTCTCCAGGCGCATGAGCAGGAAGCTGGATCAGAAGTGGAACAGCCAGGACTAGAAAGAAGCTTAACTTTCTAAGCATTTTTATGTCATTTTCTTGAACTGAAGTTCCCTGGAATAAAAAATATTTGGGAAGAAGATTTTCTTGAGTCAAAGTAGCATTTCTTTTCCCCTTATTTCATAAAGGTTGCTCTTGAAGAAATCTGGTTGCAGAACGCCTCGGATTGAATTAGAAGAGATGGGACCCTCATTGGATCTGGTTCTGAGGAGGACGCACTTAGCATCCGATGACCTTTATAAATTATCCATGAAAATGCCCAAAGCTCTCAAGGTACCTGAGCCGCAGATTGCAGCCATATTTATTTGTATATTTTGCTCTTTTTTCTGAAAAAAGAATTGTGTGTTATATTGAAGGATATACATAAAGAGATCAGTAAAATACATAAAACTTGACTCTCAGAATGAAGAAAAAAAGAAAAAACCAAATAAACCAGACAAGAAGAAGTGCAGAAACCAGGCATCAAGTTTGGCTGAGAGCTTTCTGGTAGCCAGGACTGCCATTTTCAGAAAAAAATAAAAACTTTTTGGGCAGTTGTGCAGCTTAGGGCTTAGAGCACAGGGTGTATAATATGTGCGTAAAGTATGTTTTGATTTTTAAGTGGTTTTTAAAAACAAGTGGAAATAGTTTGTCTAGAATGCCAGTAGAGATTGAAATGATTGTCGCAATTTCTTAAGGCAAACGCAGGAAATTCTCTCCACGTATGACAGTGGAAGAAGTGTGGTCTCTAGTCTCTTCTCAGTGTGCCTGGCAGTTTCCCTAGAGCTTATCTACCCCGAACCTGCTCACTTAGAATTTACGTTTTAACAAAATCCTCAAGTGATTTGTATGCACACTTATGCTTGAGAAGAAGGTACATGGGCCTGTATGAGGGTAGTTCAGAAGGTTCTTGGCAAGGCAAAATTCCATTTTCGTTGAACTTTTTGAAGCACCTTCATAACATTATTTGACATTGAGGGGTGCTTACTAATGGGAATTGTTGTTATAGACTAGATTCGTACTAGTTCATGGTAGTAGAAGGCCGTTAAATGTATATACACATGCACATATACAAGTATGTGTATTCTTGTTTCATAGCCAAAGAAGAAGAAAAATATCTCCCATGATACTTTTGGTACAACTTACGGAAGGATTCATATGCAGAAGCAAGACCTAAGCAAACTACAAACCAGGAAGATGAAGGGGTTGAAGAAGCGACCTGCAGAAAGGATAATAGAAAACCAGGAGGAAAAATCAAAGAGAATTAAAAAAAATTGATGGAATTTAGCCAACAGCTATGGTTTTATTTTAGTCTGTTTACTTAAGAGAATTGTCAAGCTTCAGTCAGTTCAGAGTTTCTTATAAGATTTTATTGTATATTTTTATAACATAATAACTTACTCTATATTATTGTGGACAGTAATGTACTGGTGTTAAGTTTGAGCCTCCTCCCTCTGATGTTACACCTGATATGCTGTTTTCTCTCTATGATATGACATCTGCTTTCTTAAAACTCTTCTCTCTTCATTGAAAGAGGGAGAGAGGAGGGATCTTCACAACCATTGGAGTTTTTAAAAAAGTTCTGGATGGGACATTTTAGAAAAACAGAGATAGCCTTGGAAAGCAGAAAGAACCCAAAGGAGCTGTATAAACATTTAAGATAAAAACCTAGCCCCATTTCCCAATATATTTCTATGACCTGATTTTTATTTTTTACTTTTCTATTATTCTGCCTGAAATCCTACCAGTTAAGAGATTGATTTGAGATTTTAAGCTTTGTGTCTTAAAATATAAATGTCTGAGAGGGTTGTCCACTACGTGATGTTGGCACCTTCCCTTACTGTTGATTATTTCAGTTGATTCTGCCATTAGGTGGAGTCCCTCTTAGAAAGGAGGTAAAAGGAACAAATGAGTTTTAGGTCACAGGGTGCTTCAGGGAGCTGGTTATTCCTGGACAGCTGCAGGTGATGTGAAGGTGCTCACAGGCAGAGTAGAAGTCAGCCAGAGCCTGCCTGCTTATTTCACAGGTTCTTGAAGCCCAGCCCTGTGCTGAGGAAAACAGGAAGAATCTTGCTGGTTTTGCATACTTGCTTCCCCAGAATGGAGAATTTAAGTTCCTTGATTCTCTGGCAGATACACTTGTTTCTACAAGTACAAGCCAGTTCTGTTGTAAAAACACAAACATACATAAACTGTAATTTGTTTCACAATATAGGAGCGTTTTTGTTTTTAATTCCATGTCAGAGAGCTCCCCAGTGCTTGTGTGTGCATACATTCATGTACAGGTGGGGCTGACAGCAAGCAAACGCTAGAGTCTCAGTTTGACTTTGCATTTCCCTTCTCGTGGGAACCCATTCCTTCCCTCTGCCTGTTCCACAAATGAGGGAGCTGGGGTCAGTGCTGGCATAGTGGTTTAAGCCACTGCCTGCAATGCCACCATCCTACATGGGTGCTGGTTCAAGTCCCAGCTGCTCTACTTTCCATCCAGCTCCCTGCAAATGCACCTGGGAAAGCAGCAGAAGATGGCCTAAGTGCTTGGGCCCCTGCACCCATATGGGAGACCCAGAAGAAGCTCCTGGCTTCTACCTGGTCCAGCCTCAGCCATTGTGGCCATCTGAAGGTGAACCAGTGGATGGAAGATCTCTCTCTCTCTCTTTCTCTCTCCCTGTCACCCCTTTCCCCATAACTCTTCCAAATAAATCTTTAAAAAAATTGTGGGAGCTGACATCACTCATTTATACTTGGTGCTTGATTATGCATTTAGCCAAAAGCCACAAAGTCTTGTGTCTGAACCAGATATTCGCATCTAATGTCTGAATGAGCGGAAATGAGTAAAATAATTGTTTTCCTGAAGGAAAAGGGAGTCAGAAACAGTGGATGCACCGTCCTCCCCCAGTGCCTGGCCCCTGACTGGTCCAGCTAATGCCCATGCAGATCCTGATTCATGAGGCGAAGTAATGGGCCCTACTCACTGGGTGCTTATGGGACCCCCTCCCTGCCTCGCTTGCTCTGTCAGGAAGACCTCTGCCAGCACTCGCTGCTGTTGTGAGCCAATGTTAACTGAAGATGGCCATCTTCTCTGTGTGGGGGGTATTGTCTTATGGGTGGGTTTGTGTTTGTTTTAGTAAGTAACCTTTCTGTTTGAAATTTGCTACCACATCCATCTGTTTCCTGTGTGTTAGTGTCTGGTAAGTTGAAGTGGGTCCTCTTTGCTCAGCGAAGACTTATATAGTATTATTGAAATCTAGCAGACTTTTTTTGTTGAAAAGTCTTTTTCTCAAAATTGTTGAAACATCTTGGAACCCTTGCTCCACTGTTTGTGTGACCTACTATGGAAGGTACATTCTAATTTCTTCCTGACCTTGAACTTGGGACACACCATATATAAATTGGAGACTGTGTGTTAGTTCCAGTGGAGGCGGTGACTTGCCTGTCTTGAAGTTCTGCTTAACTTTGGATAGCCAATCCATGGTTAACTTTGTATACCTAACTCTCATGTTTTCTGCAGTGTTAGTACCAAGCTCTTTATGATTTCATAAAATTTTCCCTTTTTAAAAGCTGAAATACTGATGTTTGTTTTCTTGGCATTGAACATAACCCATAGTATGGATGTTAATACTCCATTCAAGAAAAGAAGGGATGGAGCAAAATGTACCCATGTAGGCTTTGATCCTGTCAGAATCCGATGACTTCTGCTTTCCCCTTTCCGTGTTTAGCTACTTCAGGTCCCCTTAGAAGGTGGGCCATGAAAGAGTGAAACAAAACAAAGAAGGTAAAAACCACTAAAATCACTGCTGAAGTTGGGCCAACAAAGGAAGTTTTGTTATTGTTAAAAAGTTTTTAGAAAATTTGCCTATCAAAGTTCAGAGTGAAAAAAAATAAAGTGTCTTTATTATGTTCTTAATGCATCCCATAACTGCATCAAAGCAAATGTGTTAGGGCTGTCATTTTCGGGTAGTGGGTTAAGCCGGTGCTGGTTCAGGTCTTTGCTCTACTTCTGATCCAGCTCCCTGCTGATGTACCGGGGAAAGCAGCAGCAGATGACCAAGGCGGGAGACCCAAATGAAGCCCCTGGCTTCGGCCTGGCCCAACCCTGGCCATTGCAGCCATGTGGGGAGTCAGCCAGCGGATAGAAGATCTCTTGCTCTCTGTCTCTCTGTAACTCTGACTTTGAAATAAATAAATAAATCTCTAGAACAGCTTTTTTTTTTTTTTTTAAACATAACCAAATTACCCATTTATGAAAGTGTATTGAATAGAATTTCACATTCATTGAAGTAAGTGACTAAGAAAAGATAAAATGAGCATGCTAGCTTGAGGTGTGTATTAACTGGGAGAAGAAAGTCAATTTGCTCTCCAGTGTTAATTGTTTTCCTCATAGCAACAGCTTGAATCATTCCAGTTTAAAAATACCAACGATGTCACAACGATGTATTTCCTATAGCATGTAGAGGATGCTGCTTAGGCCACGTGAAAGATTTTGAACATGTTTTGGTTGAATTGGTGCTATTTTACATACCTTTTCAATTTCAGAACCCTTTGGGAAAAGTCTTAAAATATGATGTAAATGCATTTTAATTCTGTTCTTGTTCTGCTTCCTTTAAACCATTTCTACCCATCTGTCTCCAGCCAGTCTTGCCCTCACCCCCATTCCCCAGGAATCAAAAAGTAGCTTCCAAGCACAGGGAGCACTGTCTGGTTTTGGCCCCGCTACTGAACAGGGCTGGATGTTAGTTTGGGTGCCCCCCAGAGGTCCATGTGTTAAACGCGTGGCCTCCACAATCTGGATGGCACTGAGAGTGGAAACTGCTCTCATTTCGAGGGTGCAAGGGGGACTTTTGTGAAGTGATTGGGTTGGGTTGTTCAGGTGATCGAATCATGGGGGCTTTACAAGGAGGGACGTAAATCGGCTCCCTTGCCAAGTCATGCACTGTGACACCTAGGGACGCTGCCAGCAAGAATGGCCTCACCACATGCCCGGCTGGTGGGGCACCCAGTCTTGGGTTGTGAACCTCCAGGACTGAGAGGCAAAATAAACCTTTTCTGTATGAAGGTGGCTTCCCCTAGGAATTCTGTGCAAAGCTAATACAGGCGGGAATGGTGAAGCATCTGGAATTCAGCAGTTGAGGCTTCTGCCCAGCAAAGATCAAAGCCCCAGACCATTAGGCGCTTCTGTGGACTGGGGTTGATTCCCCAAGCTCAAAACCGGGTTTCTGAGGGTGCAGACACAAGCTTCTGAGTTGAGGAAGGCACCTGTAGCCAGTGTTAGAGCCAGGCTGAGGCTGGGGCTGGGGCTGAGGCGTGGGCTCGGCCAACTCTCTCTGTCCATCAGACTCCACAGAGGAGCTCAGGGTTCTGGAAGGCAAAGCACAACCTCTAACTGCTGTGTTTGAGACAGACTTTGAAGATGCCTGTTCATCAGCCTGAGCAGTTTATTTTCCCAGTCCCTGAGCTGCTTCTCTGAGTCACTTACCTGACAAAGCAGGTGCCGTGGTGACTTGGTTGAGACTGCTTTAGGAGACACAACCTCCAGCACCACCTCTGGCTCTGCCTTGCAGAGTGCCTGGAGTGTCTGACCCTGGGAAGAGAGCATGCAAATTTCCGTTTCCATCCATGGGGCTTGTTCAAAGCCACTGTATGCCACAAATATGTCTTGAATTTTATCCTCATCATCTCCCTCTATTTAGGCGAAAGATTAGCCAGAAGCTTGGAAAATCAATTAGTAAAGGCCTAGTAGCACAGGAACTTCCTAAAAACTGACTTCTGGCGGCTGCAGATTCACAACACAGAGGAGGATGTGGGGGTCACAGCCAGCGGGCACCGTGGTGTTGGGATCTGGGTGACTGGGCACTTAAAGGAACCCCTACTCCTGATGCTCTCTGAGAGCCCAGCAGAAGCTTTAAAGGACAGAGACCCCAGGTCATGGGCAGCACCAGTCATTGGCATGGATCCCCAGGAGAAGTGTTTTTAAAAAAAGTCTTTTCCAGAAATGCAGTAAGTGAAGCTTTGTTTTTATGGTAGCAGTTAGTAGTGTGGTGAAGGGTTTCAGAAGGGGATCTGATAAAGCAGGTGCAATACAATTCTTATTTCTGTTCTTAGCTTCCCGGCAGAAAGTACTGACCTTAACCTCAAGGCAGGTGAGACGTGGGATGGAAAGCACATGGCCGATGGAATGAGACTCCAAGTCTCGTTCCTGGAGAGGCGCAATCACTTAATCCTGAAAGAAGCGTGGGAACTAGAATGAGGCAGGGGACTGGTGACAAGTGGATACCTTCTAGTTTTGACCCTGGCCATGTTATTTAACATGTGTTAGGAGTTCTCAGAGTTGGAGGAGCCACCATGGGTTCCCTGGGAGCTAAGAGTTGTCAACTGAGAGCATTTCCTCTTTTAAAAGGAGGACTGTGCTTGCCTGGGTGATAGGGCAATAGTGTTTTAGGCACTGTGATAGAATTATATGGCATTGCTTATCATTTAGAATGCATTTTCTTTAAGGATTTTTTTCCTGAATATAAAAAACCATTTTTCTTATTATTAAAGAGAAAGTTGTAATTAAAAGTCAACTATGATTTTACCTCTCAAAGATGTATTTCTTACCTCTTTGAAAATATAAATTTTTGGGCCGGCGCCGCGGCTCACTAGGCTAATCCTCCGCCTTGCGGCGCTGGCACACCAGGTTCTAGTCCCAGTTGGGGCGCCGGATTCTGGCCTGGTTGCCCCTCTTCCAGGCCAGCTCTCTGCTGTGGCCAGGGAGTGCAGTAGAGGATGGCCCAAGTGCTTGGGCCCTGCACCCTATGGGAGACCAGGATAAGTACCTGCCTCCTGCCATCGGATCAGCGTGGTGCGCTGGCCGCAGCGCGCCAGCCGTGGCGGCCATTGGAGGGTGAACCAACGGCAAAGGAAGACCTTTCTCTCTGTCTCTCTCTCACTGTCCACTCTGTCAAAAAAAAAATTTTTTTTAATAAAATATGACCTTAGTATATTATTTGGAATTCTGCTTTTTTTAAAAAAATATTTATTTTAAAGGCAGAAATACAGAGAGAGAGGGAATGACAGAGACAGAGGTCTTCCATCTGCTGGTTCACTCCCCAAATGGGCACAGCCAATGGGGCTGGTTCAGGCTGAAGCCAGGACCCAGGAGCTCCATCTGGGTCTCCCCTGTGAATGGCAGAGGCCCAAGGACTTGGGACATCATCTCTTCCACAGGCACATTAGCGGGCAATTAGAGTAGAAGTGGAGCAGCCAGGTATTGAACCAGTACTCTAGTATAGGATGGTGGTGTCACGGGTGCAGCTTAACCTGCTACACCACAGCACCGGCCCTAGAATTGTGCTTTTATTAAAGTACGTTTTTCTGGGGCCGGCGCCGTGGCTCACTTGGTTAATCCTCCACCCGCGGTGCCAGCATTCCATATGGGCGCCAGGTTCTAGTCCCAGTTGCTCCTCTTCCAGTCCAGCTCTCTGCTGTGGCCCGGGAAGGCAGTGGAGGATGGCCCAAGTGCTTGGGTTCCTGCACCCGCATGGGAGACCAGGAAGAAGCATCTGGCTCCTGGCTTCGGATCAGCGCAGCTCCGGCCGTGGCGGCCATTTTGGGGAGTGAACCAACGGAAGGAAGACCTTTCTCTCTCTCTCTCTCTCTCTCTCTCTCTAACTCTATCTGTCAAATAAATAAAATAAATAAAGTATATTTTTCTTGAGCTAAAACCCATGTACAAGAAAGTACTCATATGAGCGAAGCATGAATTTTTACCAGATGAACACACTTGTTTTGTCATTACTGAGATTAAGAAATTGCAATATTTGGGCCAGCTTTGTGTAGCAGGTAAATCTGCCACCTTTGACGCTGGAGTTCCAATTGGGTGCTGGTTCATTTCCGAGCTGCTCCACTTCTGATCCAACTCCCTGCTAATGTGCCTGGGAAAATCGGCAGAGGATGGCCCAAGTGCATGGGGCCCTGCCACACACATGGGAGATCTGGATGAAGCTCCTGGCTCCTGGCTTTGGCCTCTCTTTAAAATCATTGTTACAATCATTTTCCTGTGTCATTAGTTATGTTTTTGAAAACATGAGTTTGATGACCATATAATTTTTATACAAATATGTTTTATTTTACTCATTCTGTTGGGTATTAATGTCATTTCCTTTTGGCATTATTACAAATAGTGTGAATATCTTGGCACAACATTTGGGGAACCATGTTCACACGATTATTTCATTTGATAGTAAAATACTGTTTTGTATTGGGCAGGTGATACTATGTATGATTTCCAGTTGAAGAAACAGGCTCAGATATCAAGTGACTTGTCTGAAGTTATGCAGCCAAGAGAAAGCTGGACCTAGAACTCATGTCTTCTTTTCCACTTTAAAAAATTTATTGAAATACAGTGTATGTATCAAGAAATGTAAATAGTGTTCAAATAAAGTAGTTTCTGTCCTGTCAGCACACTCATAACCAACATCATATTAAGAGCAAAACATTACTAGTACCCCATGAGTCCTTGCTGTTCTACTCTCTCTGTTTCTTTATTACTTTTTTTTTTTTTTTTTTTTTTTTAACCATGGTAAGGAAGGGTATAGTGTCATTTACATGGTATGAGTCAGTGGAGCAATATTTATAACTACCAAATTATATGACATCAACACAATTTTCATACTCTGTATTAACTTCCACAAATCAGAGAAAACATGATATTTGTCTTTCTGGGTCTGGCTTATTTCACTTAGCATAATGATCTCCAGCCGCATCCATTTTGTTGCAAAAAACAGCATTTCATTCTCTTTTATGGCTAATATTCCATCATATGTATATATCCCACATTTTCTTTATCCAGTCATCTAGGTTGATTCCATTTCTGTAAATATGGGACTGCGGGTCTCTTTCATACACTGATTTCATTCCCAGGAGTGGGATAGCTGGGTCATATGGTAGATCAACTAATAGTTTTTTGAGGTTCATACTGTTTTCCAAAATGGTTGTACAAGTTTGTGTCAATATCAACAGTGTATTAGGGTACCTTTTTCTCCGTAACCTTGGCAGCATTTGTTATTTTTTGATTTTTGGGTGACAGACATTCTAATTGGAGTGAGGTGATAACCTCATTATAGTTTTTATTTGCATTTCCCTGATGGCTAGTGATCCTGAGCATTTTTTTCGTGTGTCTGTTGGCCATTTGTATTTCACCTTGTTTTTTTTTTTTTTTTGAAGAAAAA